TCTGTAGAAATACTAGGGAGATAATTCAGTTCTCCATTTCTTTAATATCATTTTTTCCCCTAGCAGTTAAATATTTTTCCCTTGTGTTTTCCTCCTTATAAATTAACAAGGAAATAAAACATAACTGTTTTAATAGATTTCTTATGCAAGTTTTATATGGCGTATTTAATGTATTACACGTCTTTGCTTTAGGTCTTGAAATTAAATGCATTGAATATAAAGTGAATTGGGTGTAATTTTTTTAATTCAGTGTTTTATTTATTTATTTATTTTTAAAGATTTTATTTATTGAAAGAGCATGCATGCACACAAGGGGGGAGGGGCAGAGGGAGAGGGACAAGCAGACTCCCTGCTGAGCAGGGAGCCTGACCTGGGGCTCCACCCCAGGATCCTAAGATCATGACTTGAGCCAAAGTCAGATGCTTAACAAACTGAGCGAGGCACCCCTTAACTGGTGTTTATTTACGTCTGGTCAACACTTACATAGTAGCACCTAAGGAAGCATTTAAAAAAAGCAGATTTCTGGGCCTACTCTAGATCGACTGAATCAAAATTTCTGTCAGAGGGTGCCAATAATACATTTTTTAAGATTATTATATAATATATAATAAGTAAATGATATTATATAAAATACATAAGAAATACTATATATATTAACAATTGTCCTCAAATGATTCTTATGACAAGTTAAACTTTGGTAACATTAATGATATTAATGATATCAAGTTTATCATTCAGTCCTAAGGCTATTTATCATTGTTTCCTTTTTTAGCTATAATAGGAAAAACAAAGTAGACAGTTGAGACTGTTGATAATTTATTTTGTAATACATATTGAGAAAATGAAAGATGGTAACCTTGTTGTCATGTGGTGTTTAGTTTGAATTATCCACAGAAAGATCTCATTGTGGAGCATCATTTTTCTTATGTATAAAAATGAGTTAAAGGTCAGAGGTTAATAGACTATAGCATTTACATAAAACACAATGGCAAAACAGGAATTAGGATTCATAGACTGACAGTAATACTGGGACTGGCCCATGGTAGAACAATAATATATTCTGTTTGGCCCCTATTTCAGCAGAGTTAAAAGGTAAACCGTTAAGCTGTTCATTAGCATTTGTGAGCAACACCCCAACTAACCTCTAGAAATGCTATTAAAACACTAAGTGTGGTTGGGGAGGGGAATGACTGGCAGTGATAATTATACTTAGATTAACACTAAAAAAATAAACTCAACCTAATCTAAAATTCAGTAATAATAATAATAAGGTCCCCACGATAATCTTCCAGGGTCCTCTGCCATAGAAACAAACAACAAAGGGGCGTTATTTAGGCCTTTCAGATATAAAGATGAGAGCCACTTTCATCTGATGGCCACTTCTATATGCATTAAAAAAATAAAGACATGTTAAAGTGAGTTTATAAAATTGTGGTATACACTTAACAAAGCTATGCTTTGACTATTCGCAGTACAATAAAACGCGTTTTATTATTCACAGGATAAAGTGTATTTTAAAAATCATAGTGCACTGAGAGTGTAGTTATGGGACATAAAGTCAAATGGACAGTGTTTTCTTTCTTCAGTCATATCGCTATATTTCTAACTATGTATAACTCCATTTGGAGATTATAGTCAGTCAACCTGTAAGTTTGAAAGTTTTCCTGAGCATGAAACTGTATTAGTTTCCTGTGTTTGTTGTAACAAATCACAAATAGAGTGGCTTAAAACAAACAAGTTTATTATCTAAGTGTTGTAGATGTGAGCAATCTCAAAATGGGGGGGGCAGGGCTACGTTTTTCTGGAATTTCTAGTTGAAGAATTTGGTTCCTTGCTCTATGCAGCTTATAGAAGCTCCTGGAATCCTTGACTCATAGCTTTGTATCACTGTGACCTACAATTCAATCCTGACACTTGTTTCTCTGATTCCGACCGCTCTCTTATAAGGACACTTGCGATTCTATTGGACACACCTGGATCATCCAGGCTACCCTCCCCAACTGAAGGGCTTTAATTTAATCACAGCTGCAATGTTCCTTTTATAAGGTCAGGTAAAATATTCACAGGTTTCAGGAATTAGAACATGGGCAACATTGGGAGACCATTATTTTATCTACCACAGAAGCTCAGACCAAAAACCACTCCAAGAACTTTCCCCTTTGTGTGCTCTGCATTGTGATACAGTTGGGGTTTATTTTTTCTAAACTTATCAATTGATACTGCAGAGTGGTTATTACCAATGGGTCTCAGAGGATCTCACTTTCCAAGGTAGGCACTTTTAGCTACTTGTTGCAGAGAAGATAATTTTTTTTTTTAAATTTTTTTATTTATTTGCGAGAGAGAGAATGAGAGACAGAGAGCATGAGAGGGGAGTGGGTCAGAGGGAGAAGCAGACTCCCTGCTGAGCAGGGAGCCTGATGTGGGACTCGATCCCGGGACTCCAGGATCATGACCTGAGCCGAAGGCAGTCGCTTAACCAACTGAGCCACCCAGGCGCCCGAGAAGATAATTTCATAATGTGGCTGATACAACTTGTTATAAAACTACATGGAAACTATATTTTTTACCCAAAGTATGCATAATAAGGAACTAATTATATCTATAGAAAAAGATACAGAAAAAATGTTGCTTCTCATACTGTGATAGACAAATGAAGTCTGTCCTTTACTTTCAATATGAGTCTGTTAAATATTGTTAACATACAGTATAAAAGATCTAAGATTCATAGTGAACAGAGCAAAATTAATATATTTGCTCTAAAACAAAACTAAATCAATAAAACACGATTCTTGCTAAAATTTGTCAAGATTTAATTATTTATAATACATAGCAATTAATATAAGACTTATTACTATGCTTTTTTTGCTGAAGATTAAGAAAATGAAAACTAGGGATGCCTGGGTGTCTCATTTGGTTAGGTGTCTGCCTTCGGCTCAGGTCATAATCCCAGGGTCCTGGGATAGAGCCCCACATCAGGCTCCCTGCTCAGCAGGAAGTTTGCTTCTCCCTCTCTCCCTCTGTGATTTCTCTCTCTCTGCCTCTCTCTCTTTTTTTTTTTCTCTGTCTCTTTCTTAAATAAATCTTAAAAAAAGTGAAAAATAGCTTTAACTCCACTGTTAGATTAAAAAGGGCAACTAAGATTAATATTAATAGATTTGCATTTCTGCTTCTGTATAGATTCCTTTATTCATTTACCCATTCAGTCAGTCAACAGGTATTGTCTAGTACAGGCCAGACACAGGTGTGGTGGCGCTACCAAGTCAAGTGTATTATGATGCTTATTTTTCAGCTAAGAGTCAGTGATATGACAAACTGCAATTATAATGGAGCTAAACACTAATTATAATAAAAGTACTTTTTTGTTACTTTTGTATTGAAAGTACTTCTATATTGATACTTGTGTACTGAAAATATAAGTGTATTGAATGTATTAAAAGCATGTTCAGTCACTGATAACCAAACTAAAATGTTTCTTTTATTTATCTTTAATCTAAATTGGGAAAAATGGGTAAAAATACTGGGTTGGAATATTATAACCTGATAATATTTTCAGCGCCTAAAAGATTTCTCTTTTTTTTAAATCAATCTCAAATTAACTTTATAGGTGAAGATTAAATTAGCAAATATTAATAAATATACTTTATGATAAACCGACTCCATCGGTTCATTCAATACATACTTATTAAACTTCTTTCATATTTCAGGAGCTGGGCACAAAACCCAAAAGGAAAAGTAAGGATCCTACTCTCATGGAGTTTACATTCCAGGGGCCTAATACAATGGGCTCTGACATTCCAAGTACTTGACTACATTTTTCTGGTAAACACGACCAGCACTAAATAAGGGCATATATGCTCCAGGCCTGGAATTCTTCAACTCGGGCTGTACTTCTGTGCAAGGGCCTAAAGGCAGATCTGCCATTTGTGCAATTCTACACAAGTTATTTATTATCTACACAAGTTATTATTATTACAACCTTTCTTCTTTCTCTATAAAAACCGAACCAAACCAAAACAAACAAAACCCCAATAATAGTTGGGTTTTCCTGGAGATTAAATGAGCTAATGTGTGTCGCTTGTTCAGCAATTATTAGTACTATTGCTTTGACTCTCTGGGCCCAAAATGAGCCCGCTCATTAGAATGCGCTGGGGATCTTTAAAAACATTCTAAAACTCCGGCCACACAGCAGACTAATTAAATCCCAATCGCTGAGGGTGGGACACAGGTGTCAGCACTTTCTGACCTCCCCAGGTAGTTCCCATTTGCAGACAAATTTGAGATCCGCGGCAGTTTTGTTTATATATCTGGTTCATAGTAACATTTGCCCATCCATCTGTCTTTTCTGAGGTGGAACCAGAAGGTGGAACCTTTAAGCCTCACGAGCTTAAAGGTAGAAATCGAGGTGCACGTTTCTCTGTCCCATCCTGTGGCTTGAATCCAAATGTCTTTAAGGGGAGAGGGACTGGAGGGCGTCCCGACCGCTACAGCCTCCGCACAGCTGTTAAGTTTAATGGGATCCGTAGATATGCACGGAGGGCTGACGCTTCCACCTGAGGCGACTGCGGGGCCCGCCAGCGCAGCCAGGAGGCGCGGAACTCAGGCCTGCCGGGGGCGCTGGGCTCGGTGTAGAGGCCGAGGACGCGACGAGAAGCAGCTCGGCGGCTGGAGCGTCCCCCGGGGACACGCCGCGGCCTGGCCCTCGCTGCTCCAGTGGGCGCCGTCCGCCCTCACCCGCCCTT